AAATCTTTGGCAATAGATGAGACTTTCTTAAATTCTTTAAATAAATCACCAAATGCTTCTTGTAGTTCTTCAAAACTAAAAGGATCGTTAGAAGAACTTACCTCTTCGGATTCACTTTGAGCCATAAGACAAATGGCTACTTCATCATCGGATGAGGAAGAGGAGCTAGAGTTGGATTGCTTTCGGCGTTTGGACTTCTTGAATTTTCGATTAGGGCAATGACCCTTGATATGTCCACGCTCTCCACATCCATAGCAAGTAGGCTTTGTACTCTCATTCAATTGCTCAAGCTCATTTTGCAAGAAGTCATTAAATAACTCGAGAATGTCACTTTCTCCAGAGCCGCTTGTCTCGACATATTTTGACGATGAAGCTTTGAGTGCAACTCTTTTGAATGATAGATTTTGATCCCTTTTGATCTCCGCTGCACTAGAAAAGTTAGACATTTCATAAGTGAGTAGTTTACCTCGAAGTGCGTCATAGGTCAATGTATTGTAATCTCGGCCTTCTTTGATAGGGTTGACCGTAGACTTCCATTCCGGTGTGAGACTTCGAAGGATTTTTTGAACGAGAACATGATCCTCATAATGCTTCCCAAGTGTATCCAAATTTGAGACGATAGTTGAAAAACTCTCGAACATGCCATCTATTGTTTCATTTTCCATCATCATGAAAAGCTCATATTCATGGGTGAGTAAGTCGATCTTTGAGTCCTTCACTTGACTTGTTCCTTCATATGTGACCTCTAATTTGTTCCACATCTCATTAGCCGTCTTGCACCTTGAGATTTTCCGATAGTCATCCGGGTTCACGGCACAATATAGAAAGTTGATGGCCCTTGCATTTAGTTGCATCTTCTTCTTGTCATTTGAGGTATATTCGGTCTCTAGCTTTGGAACAAGAACCCCGTCAACAATCTTGGTGGGAATCGTCTCTCCATGCTTGATCACCATCCAAGAATCATAATCATTTGATTGGATGAATATTCTCATCCTCTCTTTCCAATAAGCATAATTGTTGCCGTCGAAGAGTGGTGGCCTTGTCGTGGATTGTCCTTCGGCAACTTCGGGTTGAAATGTTCTTCCGGCCATGATCTTTTTAAATTTTCAGCAGTAAAGCTTTGAAAATCCCTCGCTCTGATACCACTTGTTAGACGCCTCGCACACCTCTAGAGGGGGGGTGAATAGAGGTGTTGCCCAAAAGACCAGTTTTTTGCGCGGAAACGTTCTTCACGAATATTCAAAAAAATCAATGCACCACAAACAAAGTAAAGTGAAGGATAAGATCAATGCACACATGATATATACTGGTTCGGCCTAAATGCCTACATCCAGTCCCCGAAGCAATCGTGCTCAGGCCTTCACTAACCCGTCAAACTTAACGGAGTTTGACAATCCGAATACAACTCGAGAACTTGATTTCACAAGCCTCTTATCTTACCACCGAAGTTTTGATTTCACAAAACTCAGGATTTCTTCCACCTAACATTTGATTCCACAAACCGTTGGGATTTCTACCACTTGGTGTAATCCCAACACCAAGAATACAAATCCCTTACAATAAAGTAAGAAAACAAACCGCAACCGAGTAATTCTCCCAACACGGAGTAGATTGTTGCAAATACAATGAAGTCCTTTAGAATATGGCAATATCTCTCAAAGACTCAAGCAATGAGGAAAAACTCAAGCAAGAAAGGATTTAGCAATCAAAACAATTGCCTTGCTTTGATATAAGGAGGGGATTGAGTAGAATCTCTTTGGATATTCAAAGGATTTGTTCTTCAAAGTGTTCTAAGTGTTCTCATCAAGATAATCACGAAGAGGGTTGTTTATAGAAGTTAGGGAGTGGATAGAGATGAAAAGAATTCAAAAAACTAGCCGTTTGGTAGTTGAAACTGTTGACTTATTCGAATAACTCAAGAACTATTCGAACAGTTTGAATCAATCGCGTGGCTTGAAAAACCAGTTCCTATTCGAATAAATGGTGATTTGTTCGAATAAATCAGGCTGAAAAACCAGAACTTATTCGAATAAATGGTGGTTTATTCGAATAAAAAAGGTTAATTTCAGTCACAGGAAAGATCACGACTTATTCGAATAAACTAAAGATTATTCGAATAGAAAGGCAACTTCCCCACACAAAGGCTGAGCTAAAATGTGTTTTAAAGGTAGGATGATAAGGGAATGAACCTTAGAGATGCCATACTCTTTAACACATAATCTAAGACCTAAAACACTACCCAACTAAGGAAACAACCTCTTCGGTCTCGTTCCTTCAACCGATGCTCAAGTCCCTTCTTCACGGACGGATATGAACTTGTTGTAGCCTTGATGCACAAAATGATGATGATATTTTGCCACCCTTTTGTCATTATTAAAACCTAAAAGACAATGGGCAAAGGACATTGCAAAAATATATATTCATGATAGCACATTGTCCAACAACCTCCACCTACGGTATGACTCTATCTCCCTCCAGCACAGATTCTCTCCAGGCCTATTCTGATGCTGATTGGGCTGGGTGCCCCGACACTAGACGATCCACATCAGGCTACTGTGTCTTCCTTGGGGACAACCTCATCTCTTGGTCCTCTAAACGCCAGGCCACTATCTCCCGATCTAGCGCTGAAGCAGAGTACCGGGCCGTTGCCAATGCCGTTGCCGAAACCAGCTGGATCCGAAATCTTCTTCTTGAGGTACAACAGCCCCTACGCCGCGCCACACTTATCTTCTGCGATAACGTCAGTGCTATTTACCTCTCCACCAACCCGGTTCAGCATCAGCGCACCAAACACATTGAGGTAGACATTCACTTTGTTCGTGACAAAGTGGCCCTTGGCCAGATTAGAGTTCCTCATGTGCCATCCTCATCACTGTACGCTGATATTTTCACAAAAGGCCTCTCGTCCATATTATTCCAAGATTTTCGGACCAGCCTCGGGATTCGCCCTCCGCCGATGCCGACGTAGCCGGGAGCATGTTAAATATATACTATATTTATGTTAAATATATATTCTATATTTATTGTACACACATTGTTTCCTATTGTAGAATCCTACCATAATTAGGATTAGGAATAGCTTGTGTATATAAACACATGTACTCCCACATTATTGTTTAAGGAAATTTATAATTCTTCAGTCATTATGTCACAATGTAAACATTTATTTTGGTAAAAATATGAAATTTTTATTTTGAAGATAAATTCTATGTTTTGCTTCTATTAGGGTTGAGTTCTAATTAGTTTTTAATTTCTATCAATTCCAAAATAAATATTGTATTAAAAAATGAAACTTTTGGTAAATTATTTTTAATGTTGTACAAATTTTAACTTTTTATATATAAATTTCAATCATACATTTTTCATATTTATTAATTTCTACATTAAAAGCGATTTAAAAAGAGTAGATTCACAAAAAATTCTTTTATGATAAAAGATTTTTCATATCGAGTCCATATTTATCGAATATTACTTTCTCGGTCTTTTTCGATTGGGTACCATTTCACATTTAGTCCTTTCTAACGGCACGATGATGGAAAAATAGATGGAGGACCAAATATAGAATGGTACATAATTAATAAGGACTATCAACATAATATTTGATATAAATTTAGATTACATATAGAAGACTCTTTGTTATAAAGGGCTATGTAAACTTGGAATATTGAAAATAAAAAAATGTAAACAAATAAATATAAATAAAAATACAAAACTGAAAGTTTAATAAAAATCATAAGCGAAACCTTACCATAACTGCACAGGGGAAGCTTAAAGCACATGATAGGGATTTCTTTTTAAGATTTAAATGAAATATGGGCATGGTTGGGTTGGATCGGGTTGGGTAGGTTTAGGACTGTAAGTTGCGATTAGAATCCGGCAAAAGAAGAGAAAAGCTAATAGATAACAATACAACGACGCATCAGAAAGACCGGGTGGAAACAATAAAATAAAATAGGCCGCGATCAAAACGTCATGAGTTGCGATCGCCTTGCGCCACAGCTTTCATCGGAAATGGCGACCGCCATGGCGCGCCTCAAGCACATCGTTTCACTCAACCTAAATTCAGGCGTTGGAGGGTCGCCACAGCGTCATAACCGCCATAGGCGACCATGTCGCTCGCCTTTCATAACTATGATGTAGAGAATTAGTTTTAAATAATGAAAACTCTGTGTTCCATAATATACCAATTCGTATCCTTAGAAATGATCTTAATATGATTTGGTAACCTAAATGAGTAGTGAAAATATGTAAAAAGAAACATAAATAAAGTTTGATTTTGTGAGAAATAAGAATGCAATTTAAATTGGAACTTAGAGAACTGGAAATGGGCTTCACGCCCGCCAGCGTGAAGGGGCGTTTAACGCCCCGGGGGCGTGAAACACCGCCCCCCTCCGGGCGTGATCGGGCCAGCGTCAAAGGAATGACGCTGCGTCATTCAATTCCCCTCCCCCCTAACGGATTTATAGCCGTTGCACCCCAATTCAAAAAAAAAATTTCTTATAAATTCAAACCCCCCTCCCAATCTCTCACACCTTCTCCATCTTCAATCTCTTCTTCTTCCCAATTTTTAAAATTCGAAATTACCCTCTCTCTATTCAACATGAATCCTTCCGGCTCCGGCTTCTTTCCCGACGATCTCCCGCTGAGTGACGCCGCGATGTGGTTGTTCCAACAGTGGGGCGATCGACCGCCGATCTACGAGACGCAACAATCGAGGTACGTCGATCGAGATTCGGTTCCGGAGACTCAACCGGAACCGTCCGGATCAAAACAAAGTACACGCAGGAAAAGCCACAAAGCCAAAAGCACGTTGACTGAGGCGGCACGGTCAACCCAAAAGTGGACGCCGGAGGAGGAGTGCATATTGGCGTCGGCTTGGGTTGACGTCTCCGAACATCCTATCATTGGTAAAAAAATTATTTTTTATAATATATTTATGTTTTTATTTTTATATATTATATTTAATGGTGTCTAAAAAAATTGTGTAATACATTTTTAAAGGTACGGAGCAAACGAAGGATGCGATGTGAGATCGTATCGAGGAGAAGTTCTTCACGGCGATGAAGAAGGATGGCTCCTACCAAACCCGGGACCAACTCACTTCCAAATGGAGCCACATAAACAAAAAAGTCCGAAAGTTTATGGGAGTTTACGAGGAATGCTCCCAGTCCCCGAGGAGCGGCACGAACGATACCGATGTTCTCCGGCTTGCCACGACCGATATCAAGACGACGGGAACCAAGGCAAGGTGCCCATCGATCTTTGGAGGATTTTGAGTCGTTCCCCGAAGTGGCAACAACTCAACAATCCCGACGGTGGATCGTTCCGGAAAAGATCCACTGTCGACGCCGAGGTTGAGGTCGACGAGACTATCGGTTCTACCGATCAAATCCCTTCATTCAACGTTGCGGATTCCGATGACGAAGACCCCATTCCACGGCCGATCGGAAGAAAGAAGGCAAAATCCATTGCCTCTGGTTCGGGAGGATTCGCCTCTGCTTCCGCTTCTCCCCGCGACGAAATCGGCCGGGCAATGGTTGAACAACTTCGGGCGTTCAATCTCCAGGAACAAGAGAGGTTGAAGCTAAAGGAGAAGGAGTTGAAGCTAAAGGAGCAGGAGACCGAGATGAAAGTCATGCAAACCGACCCCGGGACGTTGTCAGAGTTTGGACTAATGATCTATGAGCAAAGAATGGGAGAGATCAAGAAGAAATATAATTTATCTTAGTTTTTTATTAATGTATCTTTTTTTAAATTATTGTCGCTTTTTTTATTTAATTAATGTATTTTTTTATTATCCGTGTTTCAATTTAATTAAATAATAAATTAATTACAATTTATTAATTTAATTTTAGAAGATGTATATTTTAAAATGTAAAAAATGAAGGTTTGAAGCCCCGGGGCTTCAAATCCATTTCCAGTGAATTTTGCGTGTAAGTTAAAACTGAGGTGGCAGAGAGAGAAAGTTTGAAGCCCCAGTTTGAAGCCCCTGGGCTTCAAACATATTACCAGTGCTCTTATAGACTACTCCATCCATTCACCATTCTTTTTGGGTCGTATGAAATTTTTTTCTAGATTTTTATTTTTATTTTAGCTATAAAATACTCGTATTAATGAATTTGCCAATTTATTCCCATTTTTTATCTACTAGATTTTAGGAGGAGGAACTAGGGTTCGGTATCATTCCTCTCGCACCAGACACTTTCCTAGACGAACACAGTGACGCATCTAAATCGCAGGTCCCTTTGGTTTCCATTTCAACCTTTTCGCCTATTCGTCTGGTATCTCTTCATTTTTCTTCTATTTTGGAAACCGATTTCAGCATTTGATTTAACCCTCCGATTTAATTTCTTCGATTTGAAGATTTGGCTTCTACTGTAGTGGATGTTTTTGAACCATCTACATGACTACATCTGTAAATTCCTGTATAAAATTAATTGTTCAATTTGCACAAATACATTATGTAATTTCTGTGAAAAAGAAACTGTGATTCAATACATCCTGAGAAGTGTCCATTTCTGAATTTAAAAGCATTAACAAGTCATTAACAAGTCAGTATTCCACGGCAGATCGGAAGACAGAATGCAAAATCCATTGCCTCTGGTTCAGGAGGATCCGCCTATGTTTCCGCTTCTCCCCGCGACAAAATCGGTCAGGCAATGGTTGAACAACTTTGGGTGTTCAATCTCCAAGAACAAGAGAGGTTGAAGCTAAAGGAGAAGGAGTTGAAGCTAAAGGAGCAAGAGACCGAGATGAAAAACATGCAAACCGACCCCGGGACGTTGTCGGAGTTTGGACTAATGATCTATGAGCAAATAATGAGAGAGATCAAGGAGAAATATAATTTACCTTAGTTTTTTTATTAATGTATCTTTTCTTAAATTATTGTCTCCTTTTTATTTAATTAATGTATTTTTTATTATCCGTGTTTCAATTTAATTAAATAATAAATTAATTACATCTTATTAATTTAATTTTAGAAGATGTATATTTTAAAATGTAAAAAATGAAGGTTTTAAGCCCCAGTTTGAAGCCCCGGGGCTTCAAATCCATTTCCAGTGAATTTTGCGTGTAAGTTAAAACTGACGTGGCAGAGAGAGAAAGTTTGAAGCCCCAGTTTAAAGCCCCTGGGCTTCAAACATATTACCAGTGCTCTTATAGACTACTCCGTCCATTCACCTTTCTTTTTGGGTCGCATGAAATTTTTTTCTTGATTTTTATTTTTATTTTAGCTATAAAATACTCGTATTAACGAATTTGCCAATTTATTCCCATTTTTTATCTACTAGATTTTAGGAGGAGGAACTAGGGTTCTGTGTCATTCCTCTCGCACCAGACACTTTCCTAGACGAACACAGTGACACATCTAAATCGCAGGTCCCTTTGGTTTCCATTTCAACCTTTTCGCCTATTCGTCTGGTATCTCTTCATTTTTCTTCTATTTTGGAAACCGATTTCAGCATTTGATTTAACCCTCCGATTTAATTTCTTCGATTTGAACATTTGGCTTCTACTGTAGTGAATGTTTTTGAACCATCTACATGACTACATCTGTAATTTCCTGTATAAAATTAATTGTTCAATTTGCACAAATACATTATGTAATTTCTTTGAAAAAGAAACTGTGATTCAATATATCCTGAGAAGTGTCCGCTTCTGAATTTCAAAGCATTAACAAGTCAGTATTCCACGGCCGATCGGAAGAAAGAAGGCAAAATCCATTGCCTCTGGTTCGGGAGGATCCGCCTCTGTTTCCGCTTCTCCCTACGACGAAATCGGCCGGGCAATGATTGAACAACTTCGGGCGTTCAATCTCCAGGAACAAGAGAGGTTGAAGCTAAAGGAGAAGGAGTTGAAGCTAAAGGAGCAGGAGACCGAGATGAAAGTCATGCAAACCGACCCCGGGACGTTGTCGGAGTTTGGACTAATGATCTATGAGCAAATAATGAGAGAGATCAAGGAGAAATATAATTTACCTTAGTTTTTTTTATTAATGTATCTTTTTTTAAATTATTATCGCTTTTTTTATTTAATTAATGTATTTTTTTATTATCCGTGTTTCAAATTAATTAAATAATAAATTAATTACATTTTATTAATTTAATTTTAGAAGATGTATATTTTAAAATGTAAAAAATGAAGGTTTGAAGCCCAGTTTGAAGCCCCGGGGCTTCAAATCCATTTCCAGTGAATTTTGCGTGTAAGTTAAAACTGACGTGACAGAGAGAGAAAGTTTGAAGCCCCAGTTTGAAGTCTCTGGGCTTCAAACGTATTACCAGTGCTCTTATAGACTACTCCATCCATTCACCTTTCTTTTTGGGTCGTATGAAATTTTTCTCTTGATTTTTATTTTTATTTTAGCTATAAAATACTCCGTATTAACGAATTTGCCAATTTATTCCCATTTTTTATCTACTAGATTTTAGGAGGAGGAACTAGGGTTCTGTATCATTCCTCTCGCACCAGACACTTTCCTAGACGAACACAGTGACGCATCTAAATCGCAGGTCCCTTTGGTTTCCATTTCAACCTTTTCGCCTATTCGTCTGGTATCTCTTCATTTTTCTTCTATTTTGGAAACCGATTTCAGCATTTGATTTAACCCTCCGATTTAATTTCTTCGATTTGAACATTTGGCTTCTACTGTAGTGAATGTTTTTGAACCATCTACATGACTACATCTGTAAATTCCTGTATAATATTAATTGTTCAATTTGCACAAATACATTATGTAATTTCTGTGAAAAAGAAACTGTGATTCAATACATCCGGAGAAATGTCCATTTCTTAATTTCAAAGCAATAACAAGTCATTAACAAGTCAGTATTCCACGGCCGATCGGAAGAAAGAAGGCAAAATCCATTGCCTCTGGTTCGGGAGGATCCGCCTCTGTTTCCGCTTCTCCCTACGACGAAATCGGCCGGGCAATG